CAGCAGACAAATGTCAAGGGTGAGAGGCCAAGGTCAAGGCCTAGTCGAGAAGATGGCTCAGAGGATCCCAACTAATGTTAGGCCAAGGAGGAAGTCTTTGTCAGGGGGGCTGAGACCTCTTATGTTTGAGAGGAGTTAATAAAAAGCTAATGGGAATGTGAATTTCTTTCTGTTCAGCTAAGATGCTGGCTGACAAGAGGAACTATCCTTACATAAATATGGAAGATTGAACTGGGCGCTTGTACTGCTTGACAGAGGTAATATAATAACAATAAAATAGTAATAATAAATTATAGCTCTCAATTATTAAATAATCAACATACGTTAGTAATTTTTTGTACATTATTCCAAATCCTTTGAATAATCCTGCAAAGGTAGTGTTATTATTTTCATTTTATAGTGCGGAAACTGAGGCTCAGAAAAAGTCTTTTCAAAATCAGGAATTAAATTCAGGTCTGCTTGGTTGTAAAACTCCAATTCTTTTCACTATGCTATGATTTATTTTTATTTTTGTTTTTATTTTTATTTTTATTTTTAGACAGAGTTTTGCTCTTGTTGCCCAGGCTGGAGTGCAATGGTGCAATTTCTGCTCACCACAACCTCTGCCTCCCAGGTTCAAGCAATTCTCCTGCCTCAGCCTCCCAAGTAGCTGTGACTATAGGCATGCACCACCATGCCCAGCTAATTTTGTATTTTTAGTAGAGATGGGGTTTCTCCATGTTGGTCAGGCTGGTCTTGAACTCCCTACCTCAGGTGATCTGCCCACCTTGGCCTCCCAAAGTGCTGGGATTATAGGCGTGAGCCACTGCACTTGGCCTACAAATCTTATACATAGCAGTTGGTAACTGAAATGAATTTGTAAAGTGATTGAATACATGAACACATGAACTTTATTTCAAGTCTAAGGTAGGTTTCCAGGTAAAAGGACTCTTTTTCTCCCTAACCATTCTCAAAAATTCTGAGGCTCTCATCCACATTAATATTCCCCACCCTCTGAATTGTTTTACTGCCTCAACTTCAACAGTGTAGATTTATTAGAAACGTGACTGAGGTGTGTAACAGGAAGTGTTGCTTGACTTGAAGGTGCTAGTCTTATCAAAGGAAGGCATATAATTCAGTGAGCAGCTGGGAACTTGGGAACCCTGGTGACCAAGGAGGACTTGGTGTATCATACAGAACTCCTTGGTGTGCTGATGTCCTGGGGTTCTGGACTGATTAAAGGATGCTGGTCAAAGTGGTGAAAAAAGAGGGGGTGTTTGTGCCTCACATGTGGAGGGCCTTCATTCCTCAGTCTGCTGTCTATGGTGACACAGTCTGTTCCCAGAAATGTACCATTTATTTGAACACCCAAGTGGCTAGGAATATTAAGAGCTAATCCAAACCGTCAGAACTGCTGGCCCCAAGTCTAGCAAAGAAAGATAAACAAAATCTTTCTAAACTTAGAAATGGTTCAGGATTATTTTTCTTTCTTTTCCAGCTCATCAAAGATTAGCTTTCAATACCAGAATGTTTTATTAAAATTTTTCTAATTAGCCTCATCATTCTGTTAATCAAGCTTATTACAAGCATGGCATCTTTATATCTGTTTTGCTAATCAACATTTTTCAAACCATGTTGACATTTCAGTGGCTTTTGAACTGCTCCCCCTCCATGAAATGGGCCATGTCCTACTCGATTCTTTGAAGATTGGCTGCCTTTCTTAGGGACACTTTTTTCATACTGATTTGTGTGCTTATAAAATATGCAGTGAGAACAGATGGACAGAAAGTTGGAGTGGGGGAGAAGGAAATAATTATCTGCCTAGTGCAAAGTGTGTACTTGCAAATTTCTAGTTATGCCATAGACTATGAAAGGTCAAGAAATAATGGCATGAACTGTTTAAGCTAACATAGCAGATAAGCTTAAGAGTTTCCACATTTGTTTGTTAATGGAAAATGGTGTCTGGCAATCAACTTCAGAAAAGTGGATAGGCTCTGATGTTAAGAAGGCTGAGTAAAGAGTTTTTTACTCCCTTTCTTTCAGTTATTAGCCTGAATAACAACAAGGAGAAAGAGAAACAGAAGCTTGACTCCATCTTTAATGAAACTGAGTGGCATGCATAACCTCAGTTGCAATGCATGAAGACTGAAGGAGGCCGGGCATGATGGCTCATGCCTGTAATCTCAACACTTTGGGAGGCCAAGGTGGGCGAATCACCTGAGGTCAGGAGTTTGAGACCAGCCTGGCCAACATGGTGAAACCCTGTCTGTACTAAAAATACAAAAATTAGCCAGGCATGATGGCGGGTGCCTGTAATCCCAGCCACTTGGGAGGCTGAGGCAGGAGAATGGCCTGAACCCGGGAGGCTGAGGTTGCAGTAAGCTGAGACCGTGCCACTGTACTCCAGCCTGGTGACAGAGCCAGGCTCCATCTAAAAAAAGAAAAAAAAAAAAGACTGAAGGTGGATGCATGAGTGACGACAGACTTAGCAGAATGGAGTACGGTGAAGGCTTCAGGGAGGACATGATGAGAAGCAGGGCAGCTGGTACCTTCAGCACTTTGGGAAGCCTTGAGAATCAGAGGTTCTGGGTAATGTAGAAGACAGGTGAGGAGTCGGCTCACAGTGGGGGCACTGGTTGAAAGTCTCTTTGAAAAGCAGTTTGACTTCAGGTTCTCACCCCACTCTGGGAAGCCAGGCAATTGAGTCTTTTCTAACCCCAAAAGAGGGAGCCTTATTTTCTGGAGAAATTAGACCTGAGAAGCTCTGGGCTCAAGGGTATCATGTACGCTGGAGTATGGGGTGAGACAAAAAGTGGCAAACATGAAGCTATCTCTCAGGATGTTAGAGAATCCTCCCATATAGGATCTGAGCTGTCCTACATGTTCTGATAGTTGGAGACCCCTGAAAGCCCCCACTCATGCAGATATAGCTTCCCAGCTTTTTAAGTGCCTCATTCTTACATATGATGATAGCCAATGATCATCAGACATTTCAGGCAATCCAATGTGAGATGCAAATCAAGAGAAAACTGGAATCAGGGGAGAAAAAAGTCCATTCAGGTAGCAGGACAAAATGTAAAACAAATTATAATTTAATGTCCTCTGAGAGACATGAGAAGAGATGCAGCCATGAAACATAAATATGATGCGGCCGGGCGCGGTGGCTCACGCCTCTAATCCCAGCACTTTGGGAGGCCGAGGAGGGCGGATCACGAGGTCAGAAGTTTGAGATCAGCCTGGCCAAGACGCTGAAACCCCATCTCTACTAAAAATACCAACATTAGCCAGGTGTGGTGGCACTCGCTTGTAATCTCAGCTACTCAAGAGGCTGAGGCAGGAGGATCGCTTGAACCTGGGAGGCAGAGGTTGTGGTGAGCCAAGATTGCACCGTTGCACTCCAGCCTGGGCAACAAGAGCAAAACTCCGTCTCAAAAAACAAACAAACAGGATGCTATGATAGAAGAGACTCTCAGAGAACAAGAAAAAGTTCATGAAAAGTAAATGATAAAAGCAAGTCAAACTATAGGAAAATAAAGTTGAAGAATTCTCTCATAAAGTAGGACAAAGAGAGATAGAGGGAATTTAGAGCCAAAAATGCAAGGAAATTAGAGAATTAATTCAATATCTATCTTCTGATTAATAGGTAAAATCAGAAATGAGAAAAGGGGAAAAGAGAAAACTGTAGAGAAGAAAATATCCAAGAAATAATATTTAAAAATTTCCAAGAATTAGAGGCTTAAGTTTCCAGATTGAAAGGGCCCACTGAGAGCTAAACCAACGAAGGAGAAGAAGGCACTCAAAAAAGCAAGTCGGTATGAAATTTCAGAACACCAAGGATAAAAAGAAGATCCCAAAACATTCTGGAATGGGGAGGGATAGAGTGCGCTAACAGGTCACACACAAAGGGTTAGGAGTAAGCAGGATAGCTGATTTCTCAATAGCAACACTAAGTGAAAAGACAATGGAGAAATGTTTTCAACATGGTGAAGGAAAATGACTTTCAGCCTAGAATCTATACCTAACCAAACTATTAATTAAGCATTAGAGTTGAAAAGAGATATTTTCAGACATGCAGCATCTCAAGAAAAAAAAAATAGATCTTCCTGCACCCTTTCTCAGTGTATTCTCATGTCATACTGGAGGGTGTGTTGCACTGAAATGAAGAAGAAAACCAAGAAAAAGGAAGACATTGCAGCCACGTAAGAGGAACTGCAACACAAGAGAACTATGAAAGGGCATCAGGTCTAGAGCATAAACACTCTATATTAGAACAATAGGAGACTGTGCTCTGTGAGAGAGATCTCTAGGGAAATGAAACTAATTATTTCTCTGGCTTGACTATAGGGAAATTGTATTGAGAGATTGTGATGGGGCTAAGAAAACTTAGGAATAGCATTTAGCTAAGCAAATAAAAAACAAAACAATTATTAAATTTAGGGTAAGCAAAAAATAAGCATAAGAAAACAAATATAATTAAGTTCACTCCTTAGGCTAGCAGGAAATAATATTTGTATAGCTATAATAATGTAAGCAGTGAATGCCGATTAATCAAAATGATTAGGAAAGTTGGCAGGAAATGAGAATGTTGTGATAGAGCAGTTAAAACCTTATCTATCCTAAGAAGTCCCTGGATTATGCTTAAAATTAAATAAAATAAAACAGCAACTTAAGCATGTTATTTAAAAATATAGAAGAGCAGATCAGAAAAAAAGCACTAAAATTCATTGCCTACAAGAAGCAGGATAGTACGTTGAGAAGGCAAAAAAAGAGTTATTTTTTTTTTGTTTTAACCTTTGCATAATTTGACTTTTAAAGCTGTGTGCATATCACTTTGGTTAAAAAACAAATTAATTTCCACTGTCTTAGTCCTTTGTCCTTCCCTTTTATCAGAGTTCTGCTTTGGGTATCTGCTATAGACTGAGGCACCAGGCCTTCTTAAATTCTAATTGATTCTCAACAACATTTCTGCTCTCCTTCACCAAGATCTGGCTCTTGAAAAGTGAACTTTCAGGAAGACTTACTGAGTTATTTTCCCTTCACCCCAGTTCTCCAGTCAAGCACTCTGATGTAAGCATTGGAGATGGTCTGGGCTGTTTCCAATAATATAATTCTGTGGAGAAAGTGTCAGAGCTACAGTCTTCTCCCTAAGGATAATTACAAGTAGAAGGTAAATATGTGTCTTTCTGAGCCATTCAATAAGTTGAAGGTTATGCAAATCTACATTTTAGACGTTATTTCCGTAAGTCAATCGTGTTTTTTCACTTCTACTGCATTACTCCACAAAGTATTTTAGGCAGAATAAAGACACATGCAATACAACAAAATGAAATAAATTAAAATAAGCAAGGAACACAACAAGGGGAAAATAAAGATGTGAAACTAAGAGAAACTAAGAACGAGGTTGGTACACACAAAATACATGCAAATAATTCCTATATATTTGATAAAATGGGCCACAAATTTGGTTTTACTCTTGTTAGTCAACATGAGGAGAGAGGCCCGATCAGACATGTGATTCCTAAGGCCTATAGCATAAAAATAAACCAGCCCCTATTCCTGTAATGAAGAGAGGATGCCGTGTAATGGGAGCAACGTACTCAACGTACTCAACGCACCCTTATAGTCAACGCAATGATCATTTCACTGGACTATTCCTAGACATGGCTGAGAAAGGAAAATACAATTCTAAGACCCCAGTGGACTGAATGGACCCCCTCTTGGCCAAGGAGACCCCAGAGAAACCTTGGAAGCTGAGTTTCCAGCCATGATGTAATGGGAGGTGAGACATGGCTCATTATACCCCTCCCTCCTTAAGCACCATTAGGCTTTCTTTCCTAAGGGCTAAACAGAAACCAGTCCTTTCAAAATACTCCACACTGATAACGTTGGTTACTAGCTTATTCTCCCAGGCACAAAACAAAAACAACTTTGGGAGGCTGAGGCAGGTGGATCACTTGAGCCCAGAAGTTCAAGACCATCCTGGGCAACATGGTGAAGCCCCATCTCTACAACCAGAAAATACAAAAAGTAGCCTGGCATGGTGGCATAATCCTATAGTCCCAGCAACTCAGGAGGCTAAGGTGAGAGGATCACCTGAGCCCGGGAGTTTGAGTCTGCAGTAAGCGAAGATCATGTCACTGCACTCCAGCCTGTTTGACAGAGCAAGACCCTGTCTCAAGAAAATAAAAATAAATAAAATTTAAAAATAAACAAAACAAGGCAAGAAGAGATTAACCATTCCTTCACCCCTCCCTGACATCTGCTTCCTCTCTTCCCTTTTTTCTCTAATGTTCACCTTATCTTATGTAAAATGTAGATTTAGTGGGCACCAACTGAAGTCTCACAAGTATGTAACCATTAGTCTCACTATCACGCTCCCTGCCGCCCCCCTCCCCCATTCTCAAGGAAAATGTAGAATACTAAACCTCCTGAGAACTTCTTTGGAAAAACAGCCACAGATATGACTGTGACTCATATTTTTCCTGGATGCACCCTCAAGCTGGATCAATAAACCTCAGTGCATTGGCACACTTGCCTCAGTCACCCATTTGGTTGTCCATAGCTCAATAGCATTAAGACAATGTAAAATTCAGCTAACATATTTTGGGTAGGAGAATGATGCTGATGAGCTGTTATTCAGCCTCTTCACTCTATAATTATTTGATTTAGCCTAAGGCTAGCTTTTAAGGAACTGGATGTGTGAAAGGAACATAAAATTTCTGCCAAAGGGAAAATTTAAGCTTGAGAACTGAGTCGCACAAAACTGCCTTTCATTTTGTTCCTAAGTAGCTGCAAAGCTAGAAGGTCACATATCTCCCTAGGGGACCTCCCTCACAAATTGCTCACAAGGAAATTCTCTGTGGGCCCCAAGATCTTTACCTTGAAACAGAGTTCTGTTGAACTTCACCTTGACAATGTAAACGAACAGCTTACCTTCACAGGTACAGGACAAAGACAGGACTAGAAGTCATCCCTCTGCTCACATGAGACAGATGCATAGTTGACTGTTCCTCTGAGATATGAATAGCATGGGGTAGTTGCAGGAGGATGGAAAATAAGTACTAGGCAACTAACCATAGGATAAGAGAAAACCCAAAATAAGGGAAAGAAAATGGCCAAACTCCAGTCAGGGTGACAGGTCCACGGCTCTTCCAGGCAAACCCAAATAAGGGAGAAAGGGAGTCATAACTGGGAGGTCCCTGAAATCCCCTCCTTTTCCAGAATACCTAATGATTATCCCACCCCCTAATTAAAGAAACATCCACAAAATTAGAAACCCAAGCTCCATTGTGTGTGACTGTTCTCATGAGCACGCCCACACTTCTTTGTTAGTGTGTGCTTTTGTTTTGCAATAAAAGCTTCTTGCCTTTTGTTTCATTCTGACTCATCCCTGAATTATTTTCCTTTTTTCTTATTTATTTATTTTTCTTTTTTAAAAAGAACAGGGATGGGGTCTCACTATGTTGCCCAGGCTGGTCTCAAACTCCTGGGCTCAAGCAATCTGCCTGTCTTGGCCTCCCAAAGTGCTGGGATTACAGGTGTGAGCCACTGCACCCGGCCAGTTGTCCCTGAGTTCTTTCTCATGACAGTGTGAGAAATCTGGACACTGGCTGGGACTGGGGTTTCACTGGCATCTGGGGATCCCCCTGAGCCCCTTGGCACCATCTCTAGCCCCTCCTTTCACAGTAAAATGTGGATTCAGTAAGCATTAATCAAAGCCTCAAAAGAATGTAACTGCTTGCCTCTTTTACTTGTCCTCTCCCTTTCTTTCCTCCTTCCACTACTGCCTGCTCTTTCTCCTTTAAATACTGAAGTCTTCAAACCCTCTTTGGAAAACGCATGGATCACAGATGTTCCTGTGATTTCTGTTCCTTTTTCCTGGGCACATCCTCAACCTTGGCAAAACAAACTTCTAAATCAGTGGTCCCCAACCTTTTTGACACCAGGGACTGGTTTCATGGAAGACAAGTTTTCCACAGACAGGAGAGGTGAGGGTGGGAGGAGGGACAAGAAGGAGGATGATGATGGTTTTGAGATGAAACTGGTTCACCTCAGATCATCAGGCATTAGATTCTCATAAGGAACAAGCAACCTGTGCAGTTCACAGTAGGGTCGTGCTCCTGTGAGGATGTAATGCTGATCTGGCAGGAGGCGGAGCTCAGGCAGTAAGGCTCACTCACCGGCTGCTCACCTCCTGCTGTGTGGGCGGGCTCCTAACAGCCCACACAGACTGGCACCAGTCCATGGCTCGAGGGCTGGCGATCCCCGCTCTAAAGTGATCAAGACATGCTCTTTCTTTGGTTTACAGATGGCTGTCTCAAGTTCCACTCTTCTTTAAACTATTTTGAATATCATAAAGTGAAATTAACTTCATTTAACTCTCCTGTTTTCGCTATCATCTGCATTTGAATTGACCCTTGTGAGGAGTCTTATGTGTGATTTTGCAGGTCCAACTATAAGCAAAGACAAGGTTTTGCTTTGCAGACCTCGTGGGGAGAAGGTCCCCTCCCCATAGCAGACTTGGTGGTCAGCCAGTGCACTGCAGTTTTCTGGAAGAAGTTGCAGCCAAGGACTCAGACCCCCACCCTTTCCCAGGCTAGCCACTCCCACAGGCACATCAGTGGTCCTAGCCCAGAAGCCTCCCTTCATAGGTCTTCTTATTGGTGGCCTTGGATAAGGCCCTTTTCTCTACTTTGACTCAATATTGATACAGGAGCTAGAAAGAAATTATTTTAGGCAGATAGTGAGGGTAAAGAAGTCCTCAGCAAGGCTTCCCTTTTAACAAAAAGCAGCTCCCCACGAAATTTCTTTTCTAACAAAGAACAGCCTGAAAAATTGAGCTGCAGACATAGACAAGCAAGCTGGAAGTTTGCACGGTGAATGCCAGCAGCTGTGCCAATAGGAAAAGGCTACCCAGGGGCCAGGCATATTCAACATGGAGGCTCCATCTTCCCTTTTCTTTATCACCACGTGTATGGTAAAGAACCAAGTGGGCGGGCACGGTGGCTCACACCTGTAATCCCAGCACTTTGGGAGGCCAAGGCGGGCGGATCACGAGGTCAAGAGATAGAGACCATCCTGGCTAACAAGGTGAAACCCATCTCTACTAAAAATACAAGAAAAAAAAAAATTAGCCAGGCATGGTGGCAGGCGCCTGCAGTCCCAGCTACTCCTGAGGCTAAGGCAGGAGAATGGCATGAACCGGGGAGGGGGAGCTTGCAGTGAGCCGAGATCACGCCACTGAACTCCAGCCTGGGCGCCTCAAAAAACAAACAAACAAAAAAGAACCAAGCAACATGGCCTCAGCCAGGTACAGAAACCATTTCTTAATAAAAAATTAGGGTGGGGTGGCCAGCTTCTTCTACTGCTATGCAGATGGCACACCTGGTCCAACCAACCTTTTATGCCCCTTGTTAAGTCAGACACCACCCCCTCAAGCTCATCTACAAGGCCTTCTGCATTTCACTACGGAAGAGGCAACCCATGTTTTCAGGGACCCCTCTATGTGCAGAGAGGTCTTCTCTTTCTTTCGCCTGTTAAACTTCCATTCTTAACTTCACTCTGGTGTGTCTGTGTCCTAGTTTTCTGTGGCGTGGGACAACAAACCTTGGGTATTACCCCAGACAATGACACTGCTTCAATATCTTTCTATTCTTTAAATCCACCTATGATCTGGACCTTTCTCCTGTTGGGGCTCAGAAATCATTGCTCCCACCACAGCATTTGGACATACTGAACTGAAGAAGACTCAAGGTCTCAGTGACCTCCCCCTCCCTTCTGTCTCTCCCATGGAAGTTGAAGTTCCTTTACCTGCCAAAAATCCAGACCCACTGAGGAGAATAATTGTATTTTCTTCCCCTCCCTCTTGTTATCTATTGCAGAAAACAAAAACAAAAACAAAAAACAAGAATGTAGCCACACCTGAACATACCCTTTTACAAGTACAATGACTGCCTCTAAGGATCATTTAAGTTCCAAGGATAACTATTTACAAGGTAATAACTGTTCCCAGATCCATTCATTCTCCCTGGTAATCCCTGCAATAGAATTCCTGTTCTTTCCCTTCCCATCCTGTTTCACTAGGATCCAAGCCCCCATTCTTTCTGTAACTTCAAGATGATATTGAAGGCTAAACTCTGACCCTTTTTCCTCTGTTGCCCAAGTTCCTATCTAAGGGATCTGGGGAGGCCCATCCTACAACCATAAAGTCTCATCAGATGGACATATAACATGGCTTACTTTCCAATCTGGCATAATATCAAATGGCAGATGAAGGAAATCAAATATTTTATGCCATAATATGTTTCTTTCTCATATTTTGAAATGGCTCCACAAAGCCTTCTTTTGTGGGAGAAAATTTGCATCTGTAAAGAATTTCTATTAAACAGGTTTTTAGGTAACTTGACTCTCTCAACCAATTGCATATCAGAAAATCTTTGAATCCACCTATGATCCGTAAGCCCCTCACCACCCTACTTTGAGTTGTCCTGCCTTTTCAGATGGAACCAATGTATATTATACATTATGACTGATGTCTCATGTCTCCCTAAAACATATAAAACTAAGCTATAACCCAACTACCTTGGACTCATGTTCTCAGGATCTCCTGAGACCACACCTTGGGCCATGGTCACTCATATTTTACTCAGAACTAATCTTTTCAAAATTTTATGGAGTTTGGCTCTTTTCATCCACAGTATAAAAGCTTCTGTACCTCACTGGGAGCTTGGGTCTTCATTCTGAAGGCACTTATATGTACACATTAAATAAATTCATATGCCTTGTCTCCTATTAATCTGCCTCATGTCAGTAGTTTTTTCAGTGAACATTAAGGGAGTCAAGGGCCTTGGCCCCCACACTCTTCTCTCTCCCCAAATCCACAGGCAGTCATGAAGAGGCACAAGCCTTCTATTCTTGAATTCTGGGCAGTGTGGTGACTCACCCAATGAGTGACTCACCCAATGGTGACTCACCCAATTTGCTCCATGCTGTCAACTGAAGAATGATGAAGTCCCTACATGTGGAAAGGAGAGCTTTATTTCTCATAAAGGGTTGCAGCCTGCAGGGTGGCCATTCTGACAGGCTGGGAAGCATAGCCTCTGGCCAGAAGCCAGAAACAGACACTTTGAGGGAGAGGCAAAGGGAACAGGAATTCATGCTGAGCATGGTGGTCAAATATACATATTCAAGGAGGAGTCATGGATATTTATGAAAGAAAAAATATGTGCATGCGCAATGGAGCTTCACGCCTCTCCATGGGACTCACGTTCAAACAATGTCAGCATTAGTATCATCTGAGGGTGGAGTTTTCAGCCCTCTGATGTCCAAAGGTGTGACAGAGGACACAAAAACCCTCACGGTGCATTTCCGTAGACTGGCCAGAACCACGGGTCAGTGGTCACTTATCAGGCAAAAAAGGAGGGGCAGTGTCGGGCTGTTGGTGGATATCCATGGTGGGGTCTTTGAAAGGGCTGGTTTCTGTTAAGCCCTTGTGGAGGAAAGCCCAGTGGCAGTCAGTGAGGGAGGGAAGGTGCATAACGAGGTGTGTCTGCCCTTCCATCCCATCACTGTTGGGAACTCAGGCTCAAGGTTTCTCTGGGGTCTCCTTGGCCAAGGAGAGGTCTGTTCCATCAGTTGGGGGGCTTAGGATTTCATTTTTATTTTTCAATGCTGTTCCATGATGAAAATGGAACCCTAGGAAGCCAGCACTTCTCTTGCTTGCACTATTACAGTAAGTGAATAAAGCCTTGACTATTACTCTCAGTGTGGGTTGTTGTTCTAATTGACTAAACCTGATTGCTCAACACCTCACATAGTCATTAAATAAATTCTGAGTATGTCCTTGGGTGTCAAGGACCCAGATTATGGGTTCAGTTTAACATAAGGATTTTCTCAATGAAGAGAAAAAGAGGAATGGGGACTCCTATTATACAAAGATTGTATCCTCTTCTTGGATTGAGATGGTTAAACAACTTGGTAGAGTAGTTACACGCTGAGAGCTTAGAGAAAAGCTCTGTCTGTGCCTGGAACTCTCTGACTCTGGAAAAAACCACAGTGGGAGGAGGAAAATAATCAGAAACTCAGCAAAATGAAGGCAGCTTAAAAAACAAGAGCAAATAATTGTCTTTTAGTCAAAAGATTTCCCATAAACCATCGAGACAGAGAGAAAGTAAGGTGATAGACACTCTGAGAAGGCTGAGGGCAGATGCTTTTCCTCAGGAGGAGGGTTGAGGTTAGCTATTGAAAGGGAAAAAGACTTGTAGCGGATTTAGTTATTACAAGGTTGGGGCAGTGATGGGTACAGGGATTTATGGCAAATTGAAATGACTTCCTCATCCTGGAAAGAAATTGAAGCACCTTTTTAACACCATAGATGGGAGACAGTAATGAGCTCAGAGCCTCTCTTTGAAGATCGTCACAACCACTCAAGGAGAAGGATAAGAGAAAGGGGAAATGGCCACTTTTT